CCAATGTGTTTCTCTAGAATTCACATGAAAACGTCTTCTGTGCGAGGCTATCGCGCCAACCTGCTCAGGCCAGGAAATTTTGTAAAAGCAGGAGCTGTGGCAGTGGCAGCGGGTGGTGGTGGTGGTGGTGGTGGCGGCGGCGGCGGCGGCGGCGACGGCGGCGAATACTTCAGGGTCGCCAGCGAGCAAGCATAAGCATGCAGAAGCTCCGGTATGCCCGAGCAGAGATGCATGGGCAAAAAGCACCGAGCGCAAGCACGTAAGCAAGACTCATGCGTAAATAGCATTGCATAAGCGAAAGTGCGTAAGCCTGATGGAGTAGTATTGTCTATGTGTTCTTGTGCTTAATGGAGAGTAGGATTACTTTCTTCTCTTTGCTCTCGTTCAATACCACCAATCCACTGCCTCTCACTGACGCATCAGCAGAAATGCATCTGCAACATCAGTCACAAGCCGAAGTAAGCGCAAGCCCCCTACGAACGGAAGCCTGCGATTCCCATGCCAGTCTTTGAACTTCCGCAATATCCCAAGGAGGAATGCTTACCAAAACCATTGCACCAAAGCCATTGCAACCCTTACAGAAAAGCCTTGCATATGCATCTGCCATACAATCAAAGACACCGAGCCGTCGCAGAACTAACGTGCTCGTAGGTGCCTAGATGGGGGTTTCCCTATGTTGTGGGTACCTTTTTGGGGGTCCCCATAATAAGGAGTATAGTATATTGGGGTCTATATTGGGGTCCCCTTATTTTGAGAAACTACCAGATAAGTACCAACATTGTTGTCGTAGTTTCTTGGTATGATTGCAGTATACGGCAACTCAAATGGACCTCAAAAGGATATTGGTAACTATCCAGTCGGTCTTCTACAGTATGTGTGGTCAAAGCAGCTTGCCCTCCCCGCTCCAGGCAGAGCGATGTGCCAGGTTCTAGCAGCCGCATCGCTGTCAAGGAGCTTTCATGCGCAACATGGGGGTTTTCTCAAAACCAGGGGGAGGAATTTGCAGAAGATCCTACCTGCATAGTTGGGAGAATGGTGATTTTGTACTCTTGACGGTCGCTGGTTGCAAGACATGAGTTCAGCACTTGTTCCGCATCCTGGGCCACGGCAAGATTCCAGAGCGAACGCACATCCCAACCGCACATCCCCATACTGGACCCTGTGCTTTGCAATGTCGGTGTTTGCCATCATGAGCGCACTGTCAAGTCAAGCCCGGCAGCAGTGTGAGCGACCACTTGCCCGTCATACAGATGAGGTTCGCCTTTGTCAAAACCATAGGGAGAGGAGGACTTTTTCCAACAAAGTGCAAAAGGAGCGCACGATTCCCAGACACCCTGAACAGGACTGAACAAGGCTTCCAGCAGCCAGAACTATGGTTCTTTTCACGGATCAAGGGATCTTTGATTTTGCGGTTGATTCTAAAGCTGAACCCATTGGAGGAGCAGTTGCCCTCAGCTCGGCCCAGCACACCGCGAAATCCGCGCGGCCGGGAGGCTGCCTACTGAGCGTTTCTGGATCCCTGAAATGCTTATCGAGGGGTTCTATAGGCATATGTGCTTGGGGTTCCTGAGTTTTGTGAGACCCATCTTCAGTTCTTGTGACATTCTTGTGATGAGAACTCGGGTAATCTGGCTGTTGAAGCCGTGCGAGAGGCTTTGCCAGAAGCTTCGCAAGAGGCAGTCATGACCTGATCAAACTCAGGGTCACTACTTGCGGCAAGTCCTTTCTCCCCCTGTTTTGTTCGACCTACGTGTATGTACTGCCTTGCAAATTGAGGTGGGTTAACCTCAGAGCAGTCGGTGGCACTTGCACACTTCCTTGCAGCTCCTTCATGAAGGAGGTGTGTGCTTTTCTAGAGGGCGTCGGGGGTCGCGAGCATGCAGCCAGCTGTCCCTGGACTGGCACATCCACCTGGCTTGCCTGTGGTGGCCAGCACCGCTGCGTCGCCTGCGTCTCCGACCTTCCGACCTCACCGTGTGACATCTCCCATGTCGATAGCGAGAGATAGAGCTTCCCGACGCCAATGGCCCGTGGTCAGAAAACTATCCCTTGCTTAGTGGTGAGCACTGCGTTTGCTGGTATGTTCCAGCGTTAGAGGTCTTCATCCCGATGGATTCAGGCGTACTTGTCTTGCTTAGTGCCCCCTTAACGCCCTCGGGAACTCTCGGGACAGGCGAGGCCGCCGAGTAGCAGCTTCCGGACCTGAGCTCAGCAGCACCAGCCTTTAAAGACTTTTGAGTCTTGGTTGTGATGCGTGCTTGGGATCTTTGGGGATGGAGGCATTTCTGCTGCACACTAAGAATGAATGAGTGGCGTAGAGCGCTGGTGCTACTAGTGACTCTAATTATGCGTTGAACACCAGGACATGCAATGATAACCACAAGGCCATGCGTGCACTTTTCTGAGCGCTTGAACGACTTGCATCAGCCCCACCAAGTCCAGAAAGCCAAAAAGCATAGGGTTGTGAAGATTCGAGGCCCTTCTTTTCACATCCAGATGGTGATAGTACGCCAAATTTGGTATGTAATCTCTATGTGACCGCAGCAGGGCCGACGCAGTTCTTACTTTCCCACGAAGGGACTAGCTGTGATTTCCTCACACATTACCGTCCGCAGTTGGGACATTCGTCTCGTAAACGTCGGACCTTACAGCCAAACTCCATAACCCTTAAATCTCAAAGCGAAATCCCAAATCCGAAGCTCCAAACGTTAGAACCCCAAACCCTAAATCCTATACCTTAAGCTTTCAGGCCTGAGCGATCGCCTCGGTCGAGGGAAGCATCCAGGGGCAGAGAGGCTGGTGTGGGCTGTTAGTCTCTTGGTCTGGGTATAGGGGCTTATTGCTTAGCGGATGAGTCTCGTGTGCCTGCGACTAGTCCTTGGGCTAGCGACGGGGCAGCTGGGGAAGCCGGCGAGCGCGTAGGGGCCCCGCCGGGCAGCACTGTAGTGTAGGCGTCTGCCTGTCTTGTAGGTAAGGATGTTGTAGTCGTGCGGCCTTTGTGTACAGCCGACTTGCTGTTCTTCTTGACCTAAGCGCCCGCCGACAGACAGGACTTTCTGTTGCGTTGCTTAGCGGTGTAGGGTTTAGGGTATAAGGGTTTAGGGTTTGGGAGTTAAAGTTCAGAGTAGAGCTTTGGTTTAGGATTTCCCTTGCCGTTCGAGACTTTGTATGGCAACACAATAATAGGCTTCCTACCTGTAAGAGCAGGAGGCTTCCTGTTTTCGTCCGCGTGAAGCAGTGAAGCACGTTGCCTATTTAGATTCTTGCAGAAGCTTCAATCCCTTCATGGTCTTGGCAACTGGAGTAATATTTCTATTTTGCATGTAGATGCCTAACGGAAGTTTGTGTTTAAACCCCTTGTGCGAGGATAGTATGCCATGCCTCAAATTTTCAGCCTCCTGTATAGTATACTTGTCCTTCGGCGTGATAATCCAATTCATTATTTATGGCGAGGTCAGAGCAGAGAAGAGCTTGCTGTTTTTACCCGGCATTGTTGGCTCTGTAGCTTCCACACTTGTACGACGGATCCCAGCCTAGATGAACCGCAGGCACACGTGCAGGCACGTGACGATTCGGCTGCTTCCAGGACGGGCCAGCAGGATCTGAGGCCTTTTTGAAGACCTGCATCGCTCTTAAGGAAGTGTCCAATGGGTACTCTTGGTTGTCGTAAATCTGTCTTGTCAGAAGTCTCCTGTAACCCGTTTTTGTAACTCAGGCACTTATTCTTGTGAGCACTTTCGAGGTTATTCGGCATTCGCTACCAAAAAACTGGTGTCATATCGCATGAGGCTCCTTGCTCATGACTCATACCTGTTTGAATCCGCGTTTTGCCGGGGACCCCACCCACTCAGATTGTTTTGTTGGGATGGGTTTGGTGTAGCCAGATGACCGTGCAGGAAGCCTGCTATGGCAGGCCGGGCGGTGTCCTCAGTACTACATGAGCCTGATTAGTTGTGATTGATTATCTGCATCATTCCGGCGTGGTCCTGGTACATTTATGCTTCTACTATAAACCAGCATGAGGCCTTGTTTTGATGACTCAGACTGCTATCTTGCTTGCAAGAGTTGGGCTGTGTGAAGGCTAACTTGGGAGTTGTGTCCTTGTCCTGTTTGGGGCATACTCAAAAATTCAGGACCTGCATGATAACAAGGGGTATAGGTTGGACTCCCTCAAATGGAATGCTGCATTCTGTCGCTCTCCCCAAACCTCAGATCCATCCCGTCGCTTTCCAGTCAGAATCTCTCGCAACTGGTATGCTCAGTATACGTTTATGTATGTATACTGTTGGAATCGTTGCGTCGACATCATCGCCACCATCATCAGTAGGATCATCATTTGTCGTCATCACTGTTTTGTGCCGTGTCATCTATTCCGTTCCTGCTAACCGGGCTTACGCTTCTGATTTGTATTATGGTTGTTCTTCCACAAAATTCCACACTACCACAGCCTGATGCTAAGGTACGGGATGACTTGCAACTGCCAATCTCTTCGGCTAAGCCATGGAGTTTGCAGATGCGTAGGACCGCCCCAACCGTCATGTTTCCCAGGCATCCTGAGCCCTTGATGATAATGATGGTTGTAGCGGCGGCAGTAGTAGAAATTGCGGCTGCGAGGGTGCCGGAGCGTGGAGTGGCCGCGCATGCGGCGGGATGGCACCTTGTGTGGATGGTGCTTGGGCAGCAGTTGCTGCTGCTACCGCCATTGCGACTGCCACTGCTGCTGCTACTGCTGCTGCTGCTGCTGCTGCTAGAGTTACTATGATGACCATGATGACGAAGACTGCTTTGGCTACTGCCTAGCTGCTGCTCAGCCTTCCGCCGCTGCTGCGGCTGCTGCTGCTGCTGCTGCTGCAGCTTTTTGTGCTCGTCCACGTGCATTGAGATTTGTCGTTGCAGGGAATGAAGTGAGCTAAGTGAGCTGAGCTTTCCGTGTTGTGCAGCGGCTTTGCTCATCCACGTCACTGGCAGTAGCTTCGTCATTGTCCTGCGTTACACTCGCCATGACCCAGGCTCAGATGAAAGACACTCGGCAGGTCCTCAAGTTCACGAGGATGTGCAAGTACTGGAACACCAATCGATGCAATCTCGGTGCCGAGTGCAGCTTCGCCCATTCGGAATCGGAGTTGCGGGACCAACCGGACCTGGTGTCAACGCAGCTATGCTTCCAATTCGCACGGAAGGGTGTCTGCAAGAACGGGGAGGCATGCAAGTTCGCTCATGGCAAGTCGGAGCTCCGACGGTTCCCAAAGACCGGCAAGCAAGGGAACGAAAGTGAGCACGAGAAGGTCAACAAGCGCAGAGGAGAAGGCAAGCAGACTGGCTCTACAGTCGCTTCACGTGCCACGTTGTCCGACATGGCAGTACCTCTGGACACCGGTATCAGGCGCCAGCGCTCCAGCAAGTATGACAGTCACAGTAGCAAGAGTGGGGGCATAGTCGTAAAGTGGAAGCAACAGTAACATTCTTCCAAGTCGGAACGATTATGCGCCCATCAAAAGGTGTTATGCTGAGAGCAATGCAGCCGCAACAACGGTGTTGACAAGAATCGTCGTATGTCATATTGACCATGATAGATAACATTAGATACTGTGAAGTCTGACAACAAGCTCTGTCAACATGTTAGACTGATGGTACTACAAGAATTGCAGCAACAATCCACACTGACACAAACTGCTAGCCACAATGATGCACTAGTAGTGATTCGTGACAATGTTGCCTGCATAAAACTCTTGATCCTAAACATTCTGCATGACCTTAATCCGAATACTAAAGTACCATAGTGCAACAATTCCCAAAATTAAGGGTACTTCTTCACCGTACCACAAACACTGGCAGGTCGCACGCGATGTCGACCTTGACTGTGGACACAGCGCCGACCTTCTTCCTGCCACCGGGTTTGGAAAGGTCCGAGCCAGCCAGCCCGATCATTCCTCCGCCAGGCCTTGAACAGATTTGAGCCTACTGCTGTTGCTGCCGCGGCTGCTGCTGCTACTGCTGCTGCTACTACTGCTACTACTGCTACTACTGCTACTGCTACTGCTGCTGCGACTGCTACTGCTGCTACTACTACTACTACTACTATTACTACTACTACTACTACTACTACTACTACTACTAGCCGCCCCTCCCCCCCTAGGCACTACCTTTTACTTAAATCTAAATATCAATTTCCCGAGGAGGCGGCCAATAGCAGTAATAGTGGAAATGCCCGGAAT